TTGTCCTCCGGCCTGGAGCCACCCCTGCCGCGCCCGCGCCCGCCCGCGCAGCCCAGGCCGGCGCCGCCGACGGCCCGAGAGGGCCGCCAGGGCTCCCGCTCCTCGCGGGGGCGGGGGGTCTTGCGAGGGTTGACTTCTCCTCCTCGTCCTCGTCCTCGTCCTCCTCCTCCTCCTCCTCCTCCTCCCCTCCTCCTCCCCTCCTCCTCCTCCTCCTCCTCTTCCTCCTCCCTCCCTTCCTCCCTCCCTCCCCTCCCTCCCTCCCTCCCTCCCTCCCTCCCCTCCCCTCCCCTCCCCTCCCCTCCCCTCCCCTCCCCTCCCTCCCTCCCTCCCTCTCCCCTCCCCCTCCTCCTCCTCCTCCTCCTCCTCCTCCTCCTCCTCGTCTGCGTTCTACCTCGATCTAAACACATACATGTCATTGCATGTGTCTGTCAAGTTGTCCACATATGTGTACATGTCTGTGAGTAGATGTACATGCATCTATACTTCTATAATACAGACTCGCAAGGGCAATATGTGTATATATGTGTATATGTGTGGGCCTCTCTCGTTTATCTGTATGCACGCATTTACTTACACACTTGCATGTAAGTACTTACGTTTGAATGGTGCCTCCCTATATATACATATATATAAGTGTATATGTATGTATGAACTTATATTTGCAAGTGCCAGACTGTATGATGTCATTGGCGTTCGTATATGCATCTGTAAATACCCAAAGTCATATGTACATGTATGTATGCTGCATATAACGCTAGATGCGCACATGTAAATAGCTGAGTGCGAAGACACATGTGACTAGCTGAGCCTAGCATGGTATACATATGAATATACATGTGGGATCATTTCAGTGTAGCTGCCTATGCCTCTCTCTCTCTCTCTCTACCTCACTCTCTCCCTGCAGCGACATACATACATAGACATACACATAGGTGTATATACGCACATGTGATCTATAAGGGTGGTGCGTTGGAGGCGCAAGTTATGTGTGCATCAACACAAAAAAGACGGGCACCTATACATATACATAAATATGTATATGTATGATGTGTCTATATGTATATGCCAATAAAACATTGTAAGCGCAAACGTGTACACACACGTATATAGTGTACGTCTTGACCTCTCTCAGTGCAGACTCATGTATCTCTCACTCTCTCTCTCTCACACTCAATCAAGCTCTTTGTTGTATATGTCTTTATGTATGTTTGGATTGTCTCGCACTGTCTCGTTATGTATATCTATATAGATATACATACATACATGCATACGTGCATACATAAATACATACATACGAATATGTATCACTCTCCTTCGTTCTCCTTCTCTTCTGGTTTGCCGATTCCCGAACACGTGTCCAAAACCCTGCGCTCCTGTTTCCCGGATCCTGGCTCCTGGTTCCCAGCTTCTGGTTCCCTGTTCCCTGCTCCTGGTTCCCAAAACCCGGTTCCCGGTTCCCGAATCGGTTCCCGATTCCCGGCTTCCGGTTCCCAGTTCCCGGCTCCCAGTTCCCAAATCCCAGCTCGCGGCTCCCAGTTTCCAGTTCCCAGTTCCCTTCACAATTGCTCCATAGTGGGATCCTGCGCAGGCTTGCGGAGGGGAGGGGGCCTTCGGAGGCCCTCCGGGGCTCTTCGGAGACCCCTCGGAGGCACCTGCAGGGGCCAGCAACGGTCATTCCCAAAGAGGTGGCGTCAGCATGTCTTCAAATGGGGTTTGATTTCGGGGACGCAGCTCGAGCCCCGAACCTGTCCCAGGGTGCGTTCTGGCCTGACTCTCGAGGGGGATCTACTCGTGGCAACGATCCTGGACGGCCCCAAAGCTCTGAAACTGATTGAAAAAACATTATCGTTTGAATTCCGTTCAAAATCTGAATTCGAAACCGATTCAAAATCGGTCCCTGGACCCGGGTCCCTCCTGGAGTCCATTCTGAGGAGTTTTGTCCGTCCAGATTGGTCTCTGAAGTCCACAGGGCTTAAAGCTGGCCTCCAGGAGGAAATGGCGAACACCCTCTCGATCGTGAACTTTAGATCCGCGACGCCCCCCCGCTTCCAGAAGGAGTGGAGGTCCTGACGGCTTTCAGGAGGATTTCCGAAGGCATCCGGAAGACGATGAGGACCTTCGACAACCTAGCACAGCCGACGCCGACGACGAACCACGACGCATCGGTATTGCATTGCGTCCTCATCAGGACGCGCCACTCTAATAACGGTGATGTTTCGATGTATTGGTGGCCAAACTTACACGCGGCGTGCCGACATGGCATGACATCCGGTGCGCCAGTAGAACGCCAGGTAGACGCAGACGAAGAGCGCTCAACGACGCAGACGAATAGCGCGAAGTGCACCACGATGAATATCGTGAACGCCGCAGACAGCGACGGCATCCGCAAGACCTTCCGAGGGTCCTCCGAAGACCCCCGCAGGGTCTCCGAATACCTCCCCGCCGCAGGGGTCGTCGCAGGAGGAAGGGGAGGCGGAGGAGACTCGGGGGAGGGAGAAGA